ATGGGGGCCTTCGGACGGGGGACCAGGGAGGGGAGAGGATGGGATGGGGCCTCGGACGGCGGGGACCCAGGGGAGGGAGAGGATGGGGAGGGGCCTCTGACGGGGGGAGGGGCCTTCTGACGGAGGGAGGCGGCCAGCGGGGCCTCGGACGGTGGGAGGGGGGAGGGGGCCTTCGGACTGAGCGTGGGGTGGAAGTCGGGGCCCGCCCGCGTCGATGGGCCTCGCGGGCCACCTAACTGCCCGGCTCCCAAGGTGCCTGCCACCCGACTCCGCTGGAGAGGAACTTTTCCGTCGGCTGGATTTAATCACCACCCATTCCCGGGTCCACCTTTCCTTTAAGCGAGGCCGGTGTGGCCAAGGCTGCAAGGAGCCGGGCTGCGATTGGCCAGTCCGTGCCTCGGGCGGCGGCACGATTGGCTGGAGCTCCGGGCCTCGGGCAGCATGCGCCCGCGGGATTGGCCGCGGCTCTCCCGAGCCCGCACTGTCCCAGCAGCCTCGGTCGGGCGAGGGAAGGGGCCGCCGGGACCGCGGGGCCTGGCGCGCTCGGAGGAACATGGCGGCGGCGAGCCTCGCTCAGATTCCTGATGTAGACATCGACTCCGATGGCGTCTTCAAGTACGTGCTAATTCGGGTCCACCTGGCGCCGCCCTCCGGTTCCCCGGCTGCGGAAAGCAAGGAGATCGTGCGCGGCTACAAGTGGGCCGAGTACCACGGTGAGGGCGGGGCCTGCCTGACAGTGGGCGGGGCGGGGCGGGGGCGGGCTGATTTCCAGGGGCCGGGCAGCTCTGCCTGCCAGGGCGGACGGGGCGGCCTTCCTGCCAGGGGGCGGGATCTGCCTGCCAGGGGCGGGCGGGGGCGGGGCCTTCTGCGAGGGGCGGGATCTGCCTGCCAGGGCGGACGGGGCTTGGCCTTCCTGCCAGGGGGCGGGATCTGTCTGCCAGGGGCGGACGGGGCGGGGCCTTCCTGCCAGGGGCGGATCTGCTGCCAGGGGCGGACGGGGCGGGCTTCCTGCCAGGGGGCGGATCTGCCTGCCAGGAGCGGACGGGGGCGGGCCTTCCTGCCAGGGGCGGGATCTGCCTGCCAGGGGCGGACGGGGCGGGGCTTCCTGCAGGCGGGCGGGATCTACCTGCCAGGAGCGGACAGGGCGGGGGCCTGCTTGCCAGTGGGTGGGCGGGATCGCCTGCCAAGAGCTAACGGGGCGGGGCTGCTGCCAGTGGGTGGAGCGGGATCTGCCTGCCAGGGTGGCAGGGCGGGCGGGGCCCTGCCAGGAGTGGGGTGGGGCTGCCGCCAGGGGGCGGGCTGCTGCCATGGGGTGGGGTGGGCTGCCTGCCAGGGGCAAGCAGGGCGCTGCTTGCCAGGGTTGGGGCGGACGCAGGGCCGAGGGCACAGCGGCCGTGTCCTGTGCCCAAGTGCGCCCAAAGGTCTGGTCCGGCTGGCCTGAAGAAGTCGAGGTCCTGGTGGGAGGGTCGTACCCCCACCCGACCGTGCTCTCTCCCAGTCCCAGTCCCTGCACCAGCACAGCGCGTCCTTCTCCCCTTTATCCAGCCAGCCTGGGCTTTGTCTCCGCTGGGGGGCTGCCCAGAGCTGGGCTGGCAGACAGATGGAAGTCCCTAGGCCTCGTAGGGGTGGCCAGGCACGTCCTGAGGCTGCTTTCCCCACCCCAGCGGACATCTACGACAAAGTGTCCAGCGAGATACAGAAGCAGGGCTATGACTGTGAGTGCCTGGGCGGCGGGCGCATCTCCCACCAGAGCCAGGACAAGAAGATCCACGTGTACGGATACTCCATGGTGAGCCTGCAGCCCCTGCCAGGCCTGGCTGGAGGCGCAGTCCAGAGTCTGGGCAGCCGAACCCTCCCTCAAGGGCCTGATGGTATCCCACATACCGCGTACCACCAGGGGTAGGAAGCACATGCCAGACCTCTGAGGCGAGGGGAGGCCCCGCAGACACAGCAGGCCAAGTCCTCTGCCACCCCAGAGGCCTGGCCAGGCTCTCCTGTCTCCAGGGAGCTTCAGAGTCCACTCTGTGTCTTCACACAAGCCACCAGCAGATACACACTGCCGCTCACACAGCCCCCTTTGGTCTGCTCACCTGTGCGGGCCACCTCTCCCCAGGAGAGCTCCCCAGGGTGATCAGGGCAGTGGGTTTGGCTCCCCCTGGGCACCCAGGCTCTGCCTGTCCCCTCCCACAGCTGCTCTTGGTGTCCATTGCTGACCATTGATGCCCAGTGCCAGAGCAGAGGGCGAAGGGCCAAGTGATGCTAGTGACCATCTTCTCTCTCCAGGGCTACGGCCGTGCCAGCACTCCGTCTCGACTGAGAAGATCAAAGCCAAGTACCCTGACTATGAGGTCACCTGGGCCGATGATGGCTACTGAGGACCCCAGCCTGAGGCCTGCTCCTCCAGCAGCCAAGTCGGAACTCTGCCCTTGCCAGGTCCTCCCGAGGGGCTGGCCTTGCCCTTTTCTTCTGCACCCTCTGGTGATGTGCCACCCCTGCCAGGCCTCTGAGACCGACCAGCCTGGCCCATGGGAATTAAAAACATTGCTGTGCCTGCCAGTCTTCAGACTCTGTGTCTTGGCTTCCCTGTCCTGGGTCCCACCTGGGCAGGGCTGTCTACGCCCTGACTGAAGCAGGGGGTGGGAGAGCCCGGGAGCAGCAGGGCCCCACCCCGCTCCACCCCAGAGGCCCCCAGGAATGGCAGTGCACACTCAGCCCTTTGGGTCTGATAAAGGGGTCACTGCCCCATTTATGGCCTGATGGCCCTGAGCTTGGCTGCTGTCCCCAGGGACATCTGGGTGGAGGCCCAACAAGCCCTTGCGCAAGGCGTCAGTGCCTGGTCCTCTGGGCTGCCAAGGCCTGGGGCGCCCAGGAGTGCCCCTTCCTTGAGCCCACCCCAGGGCTCCCTGCAGAGAGGGCACCGGTGACCACTGTCCGGGCTGGGCTGTGCATAGGGTGTGGGCTCGGCCCACATGGTGACCCTTGGACGGTGATGGTGTGGTGACACCTGCGGGACAGCTGGGGGCTGAAGCACATTTGTCCTCGTGGGCCCATCACTGGCAGTTGTGCTGGCCTTTTTCAGCATGCTGGGTCCTCCAGGTGGCCACTCCTGGCAGGTGCTGTTGTGACCATGTCTACAGACCGAGAAACTAGGGCTCAGGTGAGACAAGCTCCTGAGGGCAAGTGGCAGCTCACAAGCAGAGCCTGGCTCCAAACGCCACACTCCTTGCAGCCTCAAAGTGCCCAACCCCAACTCTAGGTCTGTTCCGTGAAGACTGGAAATTTCGGGTTCACAGGGACCCTGTGCCTGGCACCACTCAGCACCTGGCTGCCCAGGACAGGTGTAGGAGGGCGGATACATGAAGGGACAATATCCCCAGCCTGTGTGACAGCCAGGGCAGGCTCGCGGCCCCACCGGACTGCTGCTTGCCTCTGCTGGGATGAGTCGAGTCTCTGCCTCCTTGGCCAGCACCCGGGCTGGGCCAGAGGCACAGTGAGAGACGCCTTGGCGGCCCTGCACCCCACACACCACACACAGAGTCTTCTCCTGGGGTGCCTGGGCCCCTCCTCTTGCTCCAGTGGGAGCCTCCACCAGGCAGGGCATGGCAGGTGGGCACGACGGCCAGGGTCTGACCTTTAGTCTGCAGGAGCCAGGCAGGTGGGAGCTGACCCTGGGCCAGGGGCCCCTCCCCTGGGGCGCGTTTACAGCCAGGCATGCAGCACCATCAGCACTGGGTGGGCTGGCCGAGGGCCACGGTTCGGGAGGGGCTAAAACCCTCCAGTTAAAGCAGAGTCAGCCTGTGGGGCCACTGCAGGCTGATAACTGGACAAAGTCCCACAGGCTGCCAGCCTTGCAGCCCTGGGCTCACTCCTCAGGCCTGACCATGAGTCTGCCCCGGCCACCTCCTGCCCAGCCTGGTCTGCTTGTGGGTGAGTTGTCTGGCCCCGCTGCTGTGGCAGGATGGGGCGCTGGTCCTGAGCCTGTTGTCTGGGTGGTGTTGAGAGATACTGGGCTGATGCCTAAGCCCCCCAGGGAAGGAGGGGTGCAAGGTGCTGCCCTGACATGGGTTATAAGGGGACTCAGGATGAGCCATGTGGTCCTGGGGATGGCCTACCTAGGGAGGGGTCAGAATTCTCTCCCAGGCCCAAGACAAGGGACCAGCTCCCCGGGGCCTGTCTGCCACACTTGGACTGCGTGGAGTGGCAGAGGCCTGGCCCCCCTTGGATACGTCCGTCCTGGGGCACTGTCCTGGCAGCCCTCTGGCCCTGTTCCTTCCCCAGGGCTGCCCACATCCTCCCCGCCCGCATCCTGACATGCAGCCTCTGTGGGGTGGAACCTGGTGCACCTGCTCTGTCCTGCACACGGAGCCTGGATGGCGGCTCTCTGTGGGTGCCAACACCCTCCGAGTCCCATCTCCTGGGCCTGATTCCCAAAGTAGGTGCCGAGTGTCCTGGGTTGGACAGGAAACTTCCAGGGCTAAAACGGACAGTCCTGGGCCAAGGGGGATGGCTGGTCACTTGCCTCCAGGCCACCTGGGTGTCGCTCTGCCAGCAGCAGGGTTCCCGGCTGGGCCTGGTCCCAACCACTGCAGGAGCCCCGCGAGGCCGTGTGCAACTTCGTGTGTGACTGCAGCGACTGCTCAGACGGGGCCCAGTGCGGTAAGGGGCCCGCACGGAGCGGACAGAGCCCGCGCTCAGGGCAGCACCCTGACCACCTGCTCACCCCAGGTCACCATGGGG